GGGGGGGGGGGGGGGCCCAAGCCCCTGACTGGTGCGGGACTGGGGATAGGCAGTGGTTGGGGTGCAGGGTGCTGTCCCAGCCAAGAAACACCTGGGTGCTGGGGAGGGGGCAGCCCGCAGCAATGCCCCCCGGCAGTGACCGCCCTGGGGCTGGCACAAACGGGGCAACAGTTCCCTGGGCAGCTCTGTCCCACGCTGGGGGGGCCGAGAGGTGCTGGGCAGCGAAGAGCATCGTCCCCTCCTCTGCGTCTTCCTAGCTGGCAAAGGGTGGTTGTGTCCCTCCCGTTGCAGCCCAGGGGTCCCGTGGGGCAGTTGGGCCCTGCTCCTGCTGTCGAACTCTGGAAGGCAGGGACAGATCCCTGCAGGAGATGTGGATCTCCTCCCAGATCTCTCCACACAGCCAGGACAAGTTTTCTTGGCCCTGCAGCAATTTGGTCTGGTGGTCAGGGTCTCAGCAGCCTATCTGTCTTCCTGTAGCCAGGTCCCGATGAAAGGAAGTCAGAATTGCTGCCAACCAGCTGGCAGGCCAACAAGGAGCTGTACACACTGCGGTACAAGTCCACGGATGATTCCCGTGAGCTGCTGCTGAAGGCGATCATGGTGGAAGACAGCATGATCCTCAATGTCATGGTGAGCATCAGGGCTGGTCCTTGCCGGCATTGTGGCCCTCCAGGTGCAGCGGTCACGTTCATCCAAAATGCCCTGGGTGCAAAGAACAGCAGGGCCCGTTTTTAAAATGTTTTGCTTCTACTTGTTAGACCTTGAAGCAGCATTTGTTCCTCATTTGTCCCGACTGTGGAGTTTGCATGGGGCAGACTCTGGCTGTAAAGCAATAAGTTATAGCCTGCAAACCTGCCCGTGCGGTAGCACATGTGACTGCATCAGCACAGGGAGGCGGTTTGCTTTGCACGCTCTGGCCCAGTAGCTGCCCCTTTTGTGTCCCTTTATCAGGTCAGGATGTATTTCTAGATCGTTTGCCCTGTCCCCACTGAGCATCTGCCCAGGGATTCTTTGCCTTGTGCCATGGCCCCAGGCTGCACCACAGGATTTCTGTCTTTGACCCTTTACAGCCCAGACTGGGGGAGCCAGTAGGGAGAGCCTGGCTGGCACTGGAGTTTGTGCGCTCTGGGGAATTCAGGCACTGCACAGTGATGTGGGCAGAAAGCAGGCGAGCCCCATTGCTTGTGCATCCCGAGACCTTGCCTGCGGTCACACCTGCTCCCTCCTTCATTCCTGGTTCTGCCTTGCTGCTGACTCCATGTTTCGCCTGTCCTTTGCAGGACCGCAGCTCTCAGAAGGTGGCAGATGTGACCTTGACGGTGGCCGATTACATCAACCCAGAGCACCTGGATGATTTCCACAAGTAATCTCCATCCCTAGCATTTTAGGCAGGACAAAATGTCCCATTGGCATGGGGATAGGGGACAAGTGGGACGAGAGAGCGCATTAGGAGGCTGGAGGACTCTCCTCTCTGGTACAAACCCAGGGGCATGTCAGCCAGCCCTGAAAGGCAGCCAGCTTTCCCTCTCCACCTCATTCTGAGCTGTTGGCAGGAAAGAGACTTAGGGGGCTGTAGTCCTTTGGGTCAGAGCCCAGGGGAGAGCCACCCCACCTGGGAGCAGGCCCTGGCAGCCCAGCACTTTTATTTCCAGAGCACTGACTGCCTGTCCATGCTCAGTAAACGCTGCCTGAGGGTGATGACAGCTTCAACCAGCCTCAGTCACCATGGTCCAGATAGCATGCCAGCGTGTCTGCCCATTTCTTCCCTCCGCTTCATCCTTTTGGAAGCTGGTGGTTGCTTCCTGCCTGCGTTCACAGCGACAGCGTGGCAGATAGCTAGCTCCTAGTGCCCTGCAGCTGGTTAGGGGGGGACGGTGCTGTGCCCCTCTGCTGAGAGGGAGGCTGCAGGATGGACATAAGCCTTTATAGACACCACAGGGAAGAGAGACTCCACAGGGAAGCAAGACACAGTGCTTCGTCCTCTCCTTTCCTCCACGGCAGACTTGATTGGGCTGTGGCCACAGCACAAGTGGTCCCTCTGGGCTGGGTGGCACTTCTGCCTTCTTGAATGGGCCTTAGCGCCCCTGCATGTTCATCCCCTTCCCTTCCTGTCCCCACTGTGCTGCCAGCTGGGGACGCAGCATGCTTGCGCCAGAGATGTTTAGCACGCGTCCGTCCCCTTGCGACCCCCTCTCAAAGTTCCTTATGGTCAGCACCTTGCAGCCATGGGTGCTCTGGCCTCCCCAGCCCACTGTCTCTCCTCTCCTCCCTGCAGAGTGTACAAGAACACCGAGGAGCTGAAGACACGGATTGTTTCGGGCATCATTGCTCCCTTCGGGGCCCCCACCGAAAAGGCCAAAAAGGAGCCTGAGGCTGAGAAGAAGGATCCCGCTTTCCCCCGGGACTATGACCCTCTCAGGGTTCCTCCCCGGCGGCCGGCAGGCGCAAGAGAGCCATCGTGGTGAGTAAAGAGCATGCAGCTGCTCGCGATCCTCCATTAGACGGGACGTGGTCCTAGTCTTTCTGAACTCTGTGTCTGCTCCCTTCCTGTTGGAGATCCCTGTGTTGCCCATGTGGGATGGGGAGCGAAGGTGATCCAGGCTTTCCCAGCCAGTTCCAGGCTCACTGGCTGTCTGCTTTGGTTTAATTTTAAGATGCCCTTTGAGGGAAGGCCTGTTCAGGAGCTGTCTGTTGGTTTGACCCTTCTTTGGCGCTACCTGAGGATTGAGCTGGAGAGCTGCCCACCCAGGAGGGACAGGGCAGAGTGCAGGGCTGGAGAGAAGGCGTGGGATGGAAGGAGAGAGGCCCTGCTTGGTGCTGGCTGAGGGACCATCAGGGCTCTGGCAGCTAGCAGAGAAGGGAAGGCAAAGGGAAAGGCAGCACTGTCGCGTGGCTGAGCAGCATCTGGGAGGGAAACGAGGGCTCTGGGTGTCAGTTCAGGCTGCAGGCTCTAGCAGAGCTATGGGGGGCTATGCTCACAGCAGAGGGCAGAGGGTGCGTGGTGGGTGCAGAGCTCTACCTTAGCAGAGCTAAGGGTTAGGCAAGGCCTCTGCCTCGCTGTGGCAGGTAAAGCTGCCTTCCCAGCACCGTCCCCCTGGCCAGAGCTTGGGGCAAGGCCTGGGAGGTGTGCAGCCCTGTGCAGGGGAAGAGAGACGTCTTCTCCTTGCTCATCTGGCCCTGCATCCCCTTTGGAATCTTTTGCTGGCAAAGCTGGGGCAAGGGGACGCACAACACTGCTTCGCCGTCCCTCATACACGGCTGGTGGGTTCCCTCAAGCTCTAATCCCCTTTAGCTAGAAGTCAGAGGCACTGCAGTGGCTCTGTGTCTCTGGGGGACTGGCTGTGGCTTCTATCTTGCATGTCACCCCTTATTCCTTTAACCACCAGTGCTCAGGGCTGCTCAGGGTGCCAGATAGTCCTCAGGGAGACCCAGCGCACCCGTGGGCAGACAGGCTGGGGCTAGACCTGGCTCTGAAACCATGTCAATGGCACGTGTTATCGGCAAGGAGACGTGACAGCTGGCTGCAGTCTCCCTGCCCCACTGTCTTCGCACTCCTGGAAGCAGGGCTGTCTTTGTGTAGCTGGCTGGGACGTGGTGGGCGAGCCTGGCCTAGTCCAGCCCTGCTTGGGGAGCCCCTGGCACGGAAACTCCCAGCATCCACAGTTAGCTCCTGCCTGGAGCAGTGGGAACAGCAGGGTACCCTTCATCTCAGCAAGCTTCCCACAAGCCTATCACGCACACTGGTGTCCACACCCAGCTGCACCCCGGAGCAGGGAATGCTGTGTCCTGGGCATGGAGTGGGTTCTCCTAATGCCAGCCTGTTCACGCAGGAGCCCTTGGTCACCCAGCGTCCTTTGGATCTGCAGTGTGGGCTGCGGGGTGGAGCCAGTGCTCTTGCGATGGAAAAGCACCCACAGCACAGCATAGCAAACACACTGGCTGCGGCTGGCTGCGCTGCCCTGTCCACGTTTGCCTGCTCCTTCCTGCTAGCTCCGGGTCTCTCCCCTTGGCCAAAGTCTCGCTCACTGTGTCTTGTGTTTCAGGCCTTCTCCCATGGGCCCCTTTGCTGTTGGTGGGGAAGATCTGGATCCTTTTGGGTGAGTATGGCTGGGAGAAGTGGTGCTTTGCATGCCTGAGGAGCGTGTCCCCACTCTGCCCTTGCTGCATGTGGGGGTGGCTGGAGACCTTCTCTGCAATAGCTGAAATCTGCCCAGGTCAGGCATCCTGTGAAGTGTCTCCAAGTGCAGACTGTAATGAGGCAGTTACTCTGTGTAAATTGCAAGGGACCAATTGACAGTTGCTAAACCTCAATATGGTTCTAATATCGTAATAAGATCCTGTGTCTTGCATAGATGATAGGTTGCAATCTGCGTCTGTTTAATAATCAGCTTGTATTCATTTAAAATGCAGTAATTCCGTCAGTCAGTCAAAGCTGAATATATCGTTAAGTGAATGTAAGCCTCTAATATAAAATGTTACCAGCTGCTGTGTCTGCAGCCCAGCAGTCTGTAGAAGGGAAGGCTTAAATCTGAGCCCACAGATTCTCAGGTGCTGGTTGTGAACCTCCAGGCTGGCTGAGGCACTTGAGAGCGGGGATGCTGGAGAGAGCCTGGGTAGAGGCAGGGCGGTCTGGAGGGGTGCTCTACACGCATCTCTCTCTCTGGGTCTTTGGTTTGGTTGGGGAAGGAGAACCTGTCATTTTCCATTCCCATTAAAAGCACATAGCCAGATGAAAACCAGCTCTTGGAATCATTGCAGAGCATCGTGTGGCCCATGGGAGTCCTGTTTGGAACCACTGTCCTATGGGGATTGCATTTTTTCCCTCTTGCAAGATAGTTCTCCGAGGGTTTGGCTAGAAAAGGGACAGCTAAAAATGTCCTGCCCTGCTGGAATGAGAGGCCTGGAGCCTGGGTGGCGAGAAGGAAATCCGATAGCACAAGAAGAGGGGTTTCAGTTGTAGGGGGTCCCTGTTTCTCTCACTGCCTCTAGCCTTTCATCAGAAGTTTCTTTGTAAAGGACAAAAAAGATGGTAAATGGAAGCAGATTTGTGCACTGACACCTGCCAGAGCTGGGGCTGGAGATGCAGACTCCAAGGCATATGCTTGTGGGACCGGGCTGTCCTGGGGCATTTTGGGCAGCCAGCCTGGTGTAATGGAACTCATTAGCACAGCTGTAAATGACTTGCATGATGGTCTTGGTGTCCAGAGGCTCCAGCCAAGTTTGCACAAAGCCAGCCATGAAGAATGGCACTTGCAGCATGGGGCAGCTCTGAGGAGCCGCCGCGGCCAGCAAATGACTTCCAGGCAGTTCTTTGGAAAGGCTGCGGGAGCCTCGGCCGGTTCTGTGAGCTCTTGCAACACTGTGCAGGGGCAGGATGTGACGCTCACCCATGGAGAGCAGAGAGCGGAGACAATGTTATGAGCCGGTGTCCGACGGTTCCCCTGGAGCACAGTCAGCAGCCGGCCAGGGAACCTACCCAACCATTGCCCATCCCCTAAGTAAGGGCAGCTCCTTGCAGGAACCGGAGGAAGAGGGAAGTTGCTGTTCCAGCCTGTTCTCTGAGCAGCCCCAGCAGCTGAGGGAAACCCAGGTGTCTGTTTGTCCTTGGCACTGTGGAGAGCAAGTGGGGCAGGCGGAGTGGAGGGTTGTTGTTTTCCTGTGCGTGTTTCCAGCTGGACTTTGTTGTTTGCTGATGTGATAGTGCCCTGGCTTGGGCGTGCATGCTGTAGGACTCCCGCCTTGGCACGATGTGGAGCATGATGTTGAGCCACGGTTCACATCCTGCCTGTGACCATGTGTTGTGGGCAGGTCTGCGGGGCTGTGATAACCCCGCTGGGAGCAGGGCATAACACATTCAGGTTGTCTCTGCAGCAGACAGCAGCCACCATGGGGACAAGGATCTGCCACGCCCCAGGACTCCTTCACACAAGTGTGCCCGTGAAGAGCTCTTGGTCTGGCTGCTGTGTGCTCGTCTTGCTGGGTTGTCCTGGCACGTGTTGTGAGGTGTTAGGTGCGTGTTCCTTCCCACATGCGCCACGTCTCGGTATAACCCTGGATTCCCGCTGACCGGCGTTCTTGCAGCAGGGTCTGGACCAGGGCAGCTGTTTGCTCCTCTCTCATCAGTGCCAGTCTCATCCTGTTCTTTGCCTTTCTTTTCCCCAGAGGTCGAAGTGGAGGAATGGTTGCTGATCCTCTCAGATCTGGGTTCCCACGGCCTGGCATAGATCCATCTTCAGGTCTCCCAAGCCGGCTTCCCCCAGGAGCAGTTCCACCAGGTGCCAGATTCGACCCCTTTGGTCCGTTAGGGGCCAACACACCTGGGTAGGTATTTGGGCATGCCTGTGTAGCCCCTGCAGTGAGGGGCTGCTCTTCAAAATCTAGCCCTGAATCTCCTGGCTCATCCGTGTTGCTGAGGAACTGAGCTCTCCCTTCTGATTAACTCTGCTCTAAATTCCTTTCCAGGCCAAATCCAGACCACCTTCCCCCTCCAGGCTATGAGGACATGTTCATGTGAGGAGTCTGCCACATGCTTTCCCAACTGGCTTCAATGAGAAAAATTTCCTGAGAAGCAGAAGTGCTTTCACCCCATCGCTCACCCG